AGTGTAGGATGGCGGTACCAAATCTCTACTTGATGTAGAGCATCATAGACTGTACCCATCTACGCAGCGATCTTGATAACAGCCCGTCCAGCAAGCTTCCCTGCATTCATATCTGCACAGAACCGATCAATATCCTCCAAACCACCATGAGTCAGAATCGGATGTACCAGTCCTCGCGAAGTAAAGTCGAGTGCCTATCCGCCCAGTTAGTAGCAGTCTCCCTACCTAGCTCGCGAGAATAACACTCACCTCCTCAACGTCCTTTAGCGTTCCTGTCACACTTCCCACAACATTCAATCTCTTGAGGCACATCAGGATTGGACTAGCTCCCGCAATGATCGACGAATCTTTCGGTAGACCTACACACACCATCGTGCCGTTGGGTCTCAGCAAGTTTGGCGCTTGTTCGTAGCCTGCTTTCGTTGCTGCGAAAACGATCACGCCATGGGCGCCATAAGTAGTAATCTTCATGATCTCGGAAGTGATGTCCGAGCATGTAGTGAAGTCGATAAACCTCTCGGCACCAAGAGAGAGGCAGAGATCGCGTTTGGCGTCGCCGCCGTCGATGGCAATAACGCGCATACCCATATGGCGAGCGTACTGAACACCAAAATGACCAAGGCCTGGGTGGTATCAGTATCATCTTATATGACGGTTTCAATTTCGTCGCTGCGAAAGACGGAAGAGGACACAAAAGCGCTATGCGCATACTCACCACCACCCGCTCCTGGAATGACAATCCACTGCCCGGGGAGTACCTTACTTCTCTTGCAAGCCACATATGCTGTAACACCACCACACATGATCGGGCCCGCCTCCTCGTCTTTGACGCCATCAGGCAATCTCGTCGCATACCTCGCATCCGTTAAGCAATACTCCTGGAACGTTCCCGCAACAGTAAATCCACTGTTCAGCTGCTTCGGGCAATGACATTCGTCTTGGCCATTAGTACAAAACTCGCATCGTCGGCATACAGACGCAATCCATTTGATACCAGCGCGATTACCAATCTGCCAGAGATCCTGCACGTTTGCGCCAACGGCTACAACGATGCCAGCGCCCTCATGGCCTGCGATGCCTTTGGTACATTCGGCCATCTTGAAGTCCCACTCATCATGGAGCAGGGATTTGTCCGAGGCACAGAGGCCACTGTAGTTTATCTTGACGAGAATCTGGTCAGGAGCTGGTTCCGGGACAGGAATCTCCTTGATGGTAATCGTAGCGTTGTCGCCGGTGCCTTGTTTGATGGCCGCCTTTTGTGTTTTGGGGAGTTGCATAATGTTACTGTATTCGGGACGATGTGAAGAAAGGGAGTATGGCTGATTGAGGAACATCGAGTCACTCAGAATACACCTATATATGTATCAACACGGACACCCGGCACTCACTGTTCTATGTGCGGGGGTCGAACTTAACGGACCTTGTTCTTGGCCTTTGTACGGATAGTCGAAGGTTACTGATCGGGGTCGCAAAAGCATGAGCATTCCGAATTCGGTACACAGATAACCCCTCTACCATTGTCAAGACGTTGCGTTCATAATCTACCGTGCATCGTCACCGAAGCCCTCGTGATCCTACGGCACTGCAACTCGGGAGACCAGATCGGATAAAGCACGTTCGTGTCAAGGTCTGCGGGGAGTATCCGCGGTGTATACGAACCGAGGATGAGGGGCACGCGAGACGGTGGACGTGCGGAGACGACTAAAGATTAGCGTGCAAGGCGGGGTACAGACATGAGGTAAATTGGACATGAGCGAGCCGTTTGTGACGGAGTTGAAAGATTCGGGAAAACTAAGAGGACAGAATTATTGGGTCGTTGTTGCTGCTCTCATGCTGCAGTACTTGGTGTCTACGAGGGGTTGAACCTCAGCTCGGGACGCCCCAGGGCGCATCATACTCATGCGGCCTTCTTTCAAGCCTATACCGAAATCTGTACGCCGACCAGTGCAGTTATCCTCTGAACCCAGAACGCCGTGCCAAATTCAATGCTCCCATTCTTCTTACCATGCCGTGATATCGTCGACCTCAGCCTCACCAAACGTGCTGCTTTTGGTGGCGACCATACCAGAGTCACTTGTTGCGGTCTCTACGTTTGGTGTTCTATTCATGATCCCTGGAAGCTCGGTCTTGAGGAAGCCTAGTAAGTGTTTGTTTACCTGCTCAAATTCCAGGAGGAAGGCGTCGTGACCATCTGGAGAATCGATCGTCTTAAGTGTAGCCTTGGGAATACACGCGGCCAATTCCTTCTGTTCGGCAAATGTGAAGAGACCGTCCGATTGTATACCTAGTACAAGTGTAGGCTGTTCAATCAAGGAAAGCGCATGATGAAGGGCCGATACTGGATCTAGTGTTTCGGGTGTCTCGCCTTCAGGATAGCGGTAGCGGGACACATCATGCGTATCCAGCTTTCTTGTGATTGCGATGTAACAATTAGCGTCAAAACGCTTGATGAACTTGTCGGCCTGGTAACGGAGGTAGGACTGTGCTGAGAAGTAGTGCGGCGCTAGAGGCTTCGATGAGCGCGGGAATTGACTGCTGCTACTTGTCGAGCTTGACCTTTCGAGGTTCGGAGTGCCTGGGTCCGATGCATCATGGAATTCGAGGTCGGCATGTGCGGCTGCAGAACCGGGTATGGCGGTACTACTGTTTGTCCGTGACATCAGACGCGGCGAGCCAGCGTTCTTGTGACCGTGGTTGTGTATCGCCCAGTGTTCGTGGGAGGGATTGGACGGAGTGGTCGGTCGCGGTACAGTGTTGATGCTCTGTTTCTTGGACAGGTCTGGTGTGTTGCGCCCAAACCTTGATTCGAACGAGTCGCGGCTTCTGTAAGTCAGTAAAGCAGACATGCGTGCGGCTCCAAGCCCGGTCGATGGAGGATCTTCATATGCGTAATAGCCGTCGTCGTATTTGGGGTCACTGTAGATACTTTGCCGTTGCGCTTCGCCCCAGCTGATGCCCCATGCGCTGTAGCGAGCGGAAGTGGCTATCGGGATGATGGTCTTGACGTAGTCTTTTCCGAAGTAGGCAAACTCGAGGACAAGCATACCGCCCATGGATCCTCCAATAACCGCAGCGACCTGCTTCACACCAAGATCATCCAAGAGGAGCTTGAAGACACTGTGCCCGTTAGCGGCTTCCAAGTACGAATTCCAGATTTCGCTCGACTAACTTGACATCGTCTCTTACAGTTGTCAGTGGAAACTCGGGTCCGTACGGACCCAGCGAGACGTCGCCATCTTTTGCTGTGACCGGGCTTGCGCTCCCGTAAGGACTGCCGAGACTGTTCATACAGACAACGAAGAAGCGCGATATATCAAAAGCCTTCCCAGGCCCACCTAGCAACGGTCCCCACCAGTCTCCCACGTCAGCGCTTCCCGTGAGCGCATGGCATATCACCATGGCATTGTCTCCGCTGGGCGCGAGGGTACCGTAGGTCTTGTAGGCAACGCTGACATTGTGTAACACGACGCCGGATTCGAGCGTGACCCGGGGTATGACGGCAAACGTCTGGTCGGGGATAAGTTTGGCGAACGGATTCTCGGGTTGCGACGACACCGTCCCTACCGCATGTCAGTTTGGATCATGCACCGCCAGAACGCGTCAAGGAAACCCGTCTGGATTCTCCAACATTCCGCATAGCAAATTACAGCAACCAGCCGTTCTTGCTTTGCCTGTCCGAAATGCTTGCGACGGCAAGAAAAGTTTAAAATGCACCTACTATACTTCGTCGGTCCATTGGCAGATCCATGTGTTTCCATATTCGCGATATCGTATGTGTAGTCGTAGGGAAGAGTGGAGCCTGCGTCGCAGGAAGTCTGGCGTATCGATCACATTGTGGGGAGTCATCACATTGGTGTTGAGTGCTGCTTGCAGACGCCCGCTAGACGAGGCTCGCCAAGACAATGACGTGCTTTTGGGGATTTGCCTGGCCCGTATGATGCCCTCGATTTGTCAAACATCAACGATCACCCTTTGCCCAGATTGGTTTTTTGAAGTGTCTGCCCAAGCCTTGATACTCTTGACACTGCTTCCAAAGTTCCCCGCAATGCCTGAGACAAGACTCAGGGCTTCCCTCCGAGTGTTGCCTGTCCGCCATCGTCTAGGATTGTTTTCACCTACTTGGCGACATAATCACTGCTTTGCGCAGAATGGCGTTACCATACGATTTTTCCCATGAGGTTGTGCAACAACACGAAGACTGTCGCCAAACCCTCGAGTGCAATCAAGAGACAGAGTCACCGGCTGCCCATAGGTGTTTCAAGTTTGATGATTGGACAACAACAGAAAAGTTGAGCTCTCCAGACTTTGATTGCGATGGTCATGAGCAAATTGCAGGTTGTTGGCTGGCTTTTATAGTACACAGAAATATATTGTTGGCCCAAATACGACTTGTCATCGTCGAAATAATGCATCAACCGACTGGCGCAAAGCGTACTCTGACCAGTCAACGGCTGCAGATGGAAACCAAGCTCAGCGTGCACTATATAGAATTCCTGCGATGGGAGCGAAATGAAGGCATCTAAAACAATAAGGACCGACGCAATCACGGCTATGTAGCACGCACCTCTCGCTAACGGACGCCACACGTGGCTTGCGCGTGACACTAGCTCTCTCTGCCCACCCAAACGCGTCCGTATCCAACATCAACCATTATTACTGACATGCGATGCGACGGGTAGTAGTAACAGGCTTAGGGCTTGTAACCCCTCTTGGACTAGGTGACGCGACGTTCACCTTGCTTTGATCCCATTTCTCCTAACGCGGATAGGTGTTCGACGAACCTGGAAGCGTCTGATCGATAGCCAGTGTGGCATCGTTTCCATCAAAGACAGAAGCCCTGAATTCGCGCTGCTACCGAGCCAAGTCGCTGGTCTGGTTCCTCAGGGTAGCAAAACGGATGGCAAATGGAATACAAAGGAGCATCTAAGCCACAGCGTATGTACCGCCACCCAACGTTCTTGTCTTTGACAATGTTAATTTCGTCACAGGATGAACGCCGTATGGCACGCTTCGCACAGTATGCCATGGTGGCGTCCGAGGAAGCTCTCAATGATGCGGGATGGTTTTCGAAGGAAGAGGCCGATCTTGAAGTCACGGTACGGAGGCTCAGCATCCGCCCAGCCTGCATCTTGCTCACCCCGAGATAGGGAGTGTACATGGGATCTGGTATCGGCAGTTTAGATGATGTGTATGATACCACAATTGCTTATGAGAAAGGCGTGGGTTGTCCCAGCTATCGATCGTAACTGTCAACTGATTATGCTAGGGTTACCGAAAGGTGTCCCCGCTCTTTGTTCCACGACTGTTGATCAACCTAGCTGCAGGCCACATATCGATGCGTTATGGGTTCAAGGTGGCTATAACTTGCTGGCTATGTTTTTTGATGCTGAGCCATGATAGGGACCGAACCATGCGGCAACAACAGCATGTACGACCGGAGCACATAGCATCGGAGACGCGTCACGTTTGATTCAGTTCGGAGATGCAGATGTTATGATAGCCGGCGGAGCTGAATCATGCATTCATCCTCTCGCCATATCAGGCTTTGCTAGGGCTAGAAGCCTGGCTACTGAGTTCAATGAACGGCCCATGGAGTCAAGTCGACCATTCGACCGAGAACGGGATGGTTTCGTCATTGGAGAAGGAGCCGGAGTTGTGGTTCTCGAGGTACGCGATCGCTGTGTGCAAAGTTGCCGTACCTGTCGTATCTAATCAGGTGCAGGAACTCGAGCACGCAAGAAAGCGAGGTGCGAAGATCTATGCTGAAGTCGCCGGCTACGGACTGTCCAGCGACGCACACCACATGACGGCACCTCGCGAAGATGGCCAAGGCCCACGTCTTGCAATGAAGCATGCACTACGACATGCCGGCCTCAAGCCAAGCGCTGTCGACTACGTGAACGCCCATGCGACGAGCACCCCACTAGGTGATGCTGCGGAGAACCGAGCCATCAAAGAGCTTCTGCTTGGCGAAGACGGAAAGGATAGAGCTTGTGAAATCAATGTGAGCAGTACAAAAGGTGCGGTCGGACATCTTCTGGGTGCTGCAGGGAGCGTTGAGACTATTTTCACAATTCTTGGAATGCATCACGTAAGTCAGATGTGGTTCTTGCCATAGCCTACATGTTGACGATGACCAGAACATCCTACCTCCGACTCTCAATCTTGAGAATCCAGGAGATCCGGCGGTTGACTTCAACTGCAACTACGTCGCCAATGCCGCTCAACAGCACAGAGTCAATGTGGCTCTCTCGAATAGCTTCGGTTTTGGTGGCACCAACGCATGTCTATGCTTCCGCAAAATCTGAGAGTCGACGATAGTTCACCATATACAATACGAGCTTCTGATCGTCAAAACTTGATGCCGAGGTTTTGTGGATTCGCGACTATTAGTACACCATGATGCTAATTACCCCGCCAGAGGGTCACGATAACAGCTGCTAGCCCCACTTGGCGTCATTTGCATCCCACGGTGCTCTGCGATACTTACCTTCCAAGCTTCATTATAGTTACCTCTTCAAACTTCCTTCACTTTCTATCAGGCTTTGAGCTCAAGTTGTCGCGCTCTTTGTTACGCGCGAGGGCGAACTCTGGTAGAATGGCAACCTCTCGCCCCTCATCTGTAGTGGGTAGCGATGCTGGGAGCAAATTATCATTCTTTCGCAATGCATCCAACAAAGCATCTGCATATCATGCGCAGACACCCTACCTCAGAAGGCTCCCATTCGCGGCAATCGCAATCATCATCACCCTCGTCGCTGTAAACCTCCTTGTTTGGGCGGCAGTTGGTATAGTCTTAGTAAGTAAAGAAGGTGAATCCAAATGGCGTTGATCGCATATGCTAAACGTCGGCAGCACTGGCATACGCCACTGATCTCGACAGCAATCCTCTCATACACTCTGGGCTTGCGCCATGCCCTGGATGCAGATCATATTTCGGCGATCGATCTCATGACTCGCCGTCTGGTTGCTGCAGGCCAGCGGCCAGTGACGGTTGGAATGTTCTTCAGTCTCGGACATTCTACCATCGTCATCATCACGTCGCTCATCGTTGCAGGAACTGCAGCGGCGGTGTCAGACAAGTTTGACAATTTCGAGCGTGTCGGTGGCATCATCGGCACTTCTGTCTCTGCTGCTTTCTTGTTGCTCCTTGGTCTTATGAACATCTACATTCTGTACAAGCTCATAGTACAGATGCGAAAGATGGTTTCGAGCGACCCTGGTAGTGAGCACGAACAGTTCAAGATACAGGGCGGCGGTTGCCTCTTCCCGATATTGCAGAAGCTCTTCAAGTTGGTCGACCGACCCTGGAAGATGTATCCTCTGGGTGTACTTTTCGGGCTAGGTTTCGACACTTCTTCCGAGATCGCTATCCTAGGAATAAGTTCGATTCAAGCCACGAAGGGGACATCAATTTGGCTGATCTTGATCTTTCCACTGCTCTTCACAGCAGGCATGTGCCTTCTCGATACCACCGATGGTGCGCTGATGATGAGTCTGTACACAAGCACGCAACTTGCGCGCGACCCGATCGCCATTTGCTACTACAGCATTGTGCTAACAGTCATTACCGTGGTTGTCGCGACCATCATCGGGACAGTGCAGTTCCTCAATCTGGTGCTCAACGTTGCCGAGCCGCATGGCAAGTTTTGGGAAGGCGTCGAAAAGCTGGGCGATGCTTGGGATATAGTTGGTGGGCTGATTGATCGCACTAAAATAATTCGACACTAACAGGATGCAGGCGGAGCTATATGCGGTACATTTATCGTTTTCGGTGGTCTCAGTGTTCTGCTGTACAAGCCTTGGAGACGTCGCATCGATAGGAAAAGAGTCAACAATGCGCACTTTGAGCCATTACCCCAGGAAAATGATGTGCCCGGCTCCGACGAAGAGCACAACCGAGGGATCGTCCCATCGAGTACGACACAGGCAAAAGCGGTGGAGGTGAACATCGAGCCAGTAGAAGCCATAGGCGCTGGTCCTGCACGTTGTTGAAAACTTTGTGTCAACAGCACCAGACGTCGACCCTTCAATTTGATATTACCTTACAACCTGCCTATAGCCTTTACCTCTTCCGATCCCGAGACCATTTTCCGTCAAACTGCGGACTCATACATGTCAAGTCGAGCATTCTCCCTGCGGAATCTTTCGAATACGCTATGACGTCCTGAAGAGCATACGAGACCGCTGCAGAGATCTGTTGGAGCTGGCCGTTCGAAGTGATGGTGTATGAGTAGTCTGTCAGAGTCATATGCATCGATTGAAAAAGGCAAATCGTGTATATCTGAGGAGGTGCGATCTTTTGGACCGAAAGTCGGGTTCGTGTACGGTAGAAGCAGACTGTATATGGGTGATGACATGGGCGGGCGTTGAAATGAGCGGCAAATGCCGAACCTGTGTGTCTATGATGAAAAGGCGTGTTTGGTGACCTGCAACTTGATTGGGTCTGAGTGATTGTGGATGATGGCGCTGCTGGATTTGGACCGAAGGAATGCCGCAGGAGGCTGTCCATGCTTTACAAGAAGAGGGGAAGACATTGAAGAACTCTTTGTTACGCACTCAAACCACTGTCTTATGATGAATCACCATGATGGGCACAGAGACGAGTTGCGCATTAGAGACAACACATGTTTGTCTTTCTACTACCGCTCACGGCGTAACTTCAGCTCTTCAAGATTGTACACAACCATGAGAACCTTGGTGCCAACTCCACCTTTTATTAGCTTGGAGTCAAGCTTGCGCGGCTTTCAAACCTCCCACTCTGCGATCTTCAGGACAGCTTCTTGAGTGCCAAACACACGCAATGTATTGCCAAACTCGTTCCAAAACTTTGAATCAAAGGCTGGGATGAGCTCCATTGGCTGTCGCTTAACCTGCTCCAACGGCACCCATCCTGTCTTATCTTGGACGTAGACGTCATTTTCCCATGACCCGGCGACGTCTTGAACCTGTTCGTCCCATTTTGCAAGTTCACTATCTTCAGGAAGCTTAACCTCTCCGTCATCTTCAGTCGAGGAAGATTCGGCGTCAGGGCTCAGAGCTTTGAGCGTGTCGAATAGGTTCTTAGTTTCGAATCGTTGTTGTCTTGCCTCCTTTTTCCTAGCCTTGGCCCTTTGTTTCTTTGTTTTCTTGGGTTGAGGCTGCTCTACTGGGGGCAGGGGAACGGGCAGGTCGACCTTCTCGCGTCCATCTTTTAGAAAATCCTGAACATCTTCCGCCAACACTCCTTTCGCTTTGTTACTGGAACGGTTGGGCAATGGCGCCGGAACCTGTTCTCCTCGCTCCGCACCAAGCTTGGCGGCGAGCCTGATCATGATGGTGGCAGTAAGGAGGCTGTCATAGCCTGCTTCGTGGAAGGCCTCGGTCTCTTGGTACTTCGGATGGTCGGCATGCGTGACGATGTGGGGCAACGGCTGCAGACTTGAATTCTCAGCAATATCCTGTAGTGTAGGGGAGGCGTTGAGGTCGCCTTCAGCATGAGTCGCTAGATATTTAGTGTCGATGATGTTGGGGAACAGCTCATGGATGGCATCCTGGAAGCCTTGCAACGTATCCTGTACGGAGTTAGCGCGTCGTCCAAATGAGGAGATGTTGCACGTGCAGGCAGTTGGCCGACAAAAGTACGATAAAAGTAGACAATGTCAGTGAACATGTTGTGGCCGACTAGCACGGGCTGCTTGATCTTGAGTCTTTCTATGGCTCTGTCGTAGCGATCTCTTATATCATATGCGTCGGCAGTGACAATCGTGCCAGTAGTGCGTGCAACATAGAGTGGATCCGCGCGATTGATGTCGCCGCCCTTGACTAAAGCCTCAAAGATCCAGCGGAAGCCGGTTTGTCGGACAATGGATTCTTTGACGCGGTTCTTGATCCTGCGCATGTTGTCGGCCTCACGCACAGGGTCTAGATGAAGGATACGAATACACTCTCCGCGTCCTATGGACACCAACTCTGGGAACTCTGCGCGCACGAGCTGATGCACGAGACGCTTCTCGAATCGCGTGATGACGGGTATTACGGGCGGAGTGGAAAGCCCTGTATGAGTTGTAATGTCCAAGGACGGCGAAGTGCTAGATTTCCATTTCTCAATGGCTTGCCTCACCCTGCGCATAAAGTCGAGCGACTCGACATCTGCCGAGTTAAGTTGCAGATCGGGTATGGGATTCTTGTTCTCGAGTCGATCCCAGGCCATGCGCTTTGCTCGCTCTGCTTCCTCGCGGGATAAGTACTGTACGCCTGTGGCAAATGGAGCCCCCAGGTCGAAACCATTGTTGAGGAGGAAGGTACACGCGCCGCTCTGAAACTTGATCTCACGCTCAAAGTCGATGCGCTCGTCAAAAAGCGGGCTAATGTTGATGTTGTAAGGCCTCAAGACATAGGTATTGGCAAGGTAGTCGAAGCGCGCGCAAGTGATACCTATCTGTAGGATCTGATAGCGGTCGGCGCCCATTTTGGTCTCGGCATAGCGCTCCTCCATGGTGAAGCGCGCCGGGCCATGTGCAGGTTTGTCTTGGATGCGCGATGGAATGCCGGACAGTTCGAGATCAAAAGACACAAAGTCGGCCTCGGATATGTGGATGAAGATGGCCAGCAAGTGGTGCGGGAAGGTAGCTGCGTCGACGTCCATGTTGGCGAGACGCGTAAAGATAAGCAAGGCGCACTTCCAAACGTCGTTGGCAATCGGAGGAAATGGGGCAGGCGCTGTGTAGAGCTATGTTGGCTGGGTGCGGAGGTCTCTGGTCAGTGTTGTTGAAGTTAGCAGCGATGGATCAAGCGACAAAGCCCGTGTCTAGCTCCTGACTCTGAGCTTGACGCAAGCAAGCGGGTGTCAAGCACCTTGACAACGTCTACAGACTGATGCAAACGCAGATAGCTCGGGGTCTCGGAGGCAGGTGACGCGCCAAGGCGGTTCGGGTGAGGTGAGGTCAGCCGAGGTTCGAAATGTTGACACCGGGCGCTCCGTCACCCACCGCTATGCGCTCGTGAAGCTCAGAGGACATTGCCTGGAACATTGCCTGGAACGTCGCGACATAGCGAAACATGGCGACGCTCTACGACGACGTCAGCGGGTCGCGCTACCTCTCATCATCCATCTCGTCGCTCTCGACGTCACGGCAACAGTCGTCGCAGATCGCCAAAGCCTACCGACAGGCTGCCCAGCTGTTCCTGACGCGACGACTCCCCGAGGCGCTGTCGACTATCGAGCCCATCATCACCCCGCCGCCAATCGACGCGGCCGACGTCGCGGGCCACGCGCCCGTCGCGACGGCGTCGCGCGGCACCCGGGTCAAGGTGTGGAGCTTCTACCTCACCTTCCTCAACGCCGTGGTCGAGCTGGGCGCCGAAGAGGGCAAGCACGCCTTTGGCAGCACGCGATGGAAGCAATTGGTCTCGCAGTGTCGCGACGGCAGCATCTGGGACCACGTGGTCCGCGACGGCTATGCGGGTGTCGAGGGCGACGTGGACGCCGACGTTGTCGTCAACCTGTAAGCAATCCCCTGACCTGGTGAGCGACTGCGTATTGATGCTACATAGAGCCACCCTCCTCCTTACCCATGCGCCCTCGCAGCGGCTCAATCAGCAGAAGCTCGAGACGTACCTCTCCGCCACCGCCAACCCAGCCCTCGACGTGTCCTCGCACATGTCTTCTCCGGCATACCTCGACAAACGGCCAGGCCATCGTAGGCAACACACCGGCACCGACACCCCACGCGACCTGGAAAAGCGCATCAAACTCCTCGAGCTCTACACCCTGCACGTCCTGCCACGGAACGACGAATGGGACTATGCCCGCGACTTCATCGACATGTCCGAGGTGCTGGACCAAGAGCGCAAGGAAGCCTTCCTGCTAGCACTGCACTCTCTCAAGGAAGAAAAGGAAGACACGCAAGCCCGCGAAGAGAAGCTACGCCAGCAACAACAAGAGCAAATGGAGGAGCGCCGCAGAGAAACCGAGGCCAAGCGCCTCGAGCAGTCGCGCGCACAAGACGAACGCCGCATACGCGAGGAACAAAACAGACGCCAACCCCGCGGCTCAGACGAGCGCTTCAGCAAACCCCAACCCACGCCACAACCCACGCCATCGCAGTCTTCCCGCACCTCCCGAACGCCCGCCAAGAAACCAACCACACCACCACCCGGCCTCTACAACCGCGCGTCTACCATGTTCGCAAACATACACACCATGATTTCGGATACGGCCCATCACATGACTTCCAATCCCATGGCTTTCTTCCGTACTTTACTTTTCTTATTGGCGTTTGGCTTGGCGTTTGGCAGGCGCCATCTTAGAGAGAGGATACTACGCATCATACGGAGTGCGTGGGACAAGGTGAGACGTACCGTAGGAATGGGCGTCAAGGTTTCCTACATCTAACCTGTCTGCCATATGTGGGTCCGGTTCTTATGGTTATATATTCTTCTTTCTAAACATTACTACCGTCGGTCATGCTAACCTCTTGCAATATCATCATGCTCTTCGTCTTCGTCCTTGGTGTCGGTCCTGTCATATCACATACGCTAGCCTTCATTGTAGCCTTGGCCTGTACCTGGCTGATGCCATTGCGCGCGTCTTCCCACATTCCAGACATTAGCCGTTACAGCTGAGGTGAAGATGGGATCAATGCAGGAAATAGACTAGATTATTCGGATAAACATGCTTTGTACTTGTGACAAAGAGAACTTCGGATGGTAATGCGAGGGGACGAGGTCCACCGTTTTACCAACGCCATGAGATTGAGCACATCCTTCTGGCTATATTCAGCTCTTGGGACATCGCTATACGATAGCTCATCTCGTAGACAGAGTTGTTCAAAAAGACTTCCCATCCTTTGCATATGACTACGTTTGTACTGGAACGCAACCAAATCTATGCGCTTACTGGACCTTGTGTCTGGAACCCAGTGTCTTCCTTCTTTGCTTGATCATGTAGGTGTACATGGTGTAGGAACCTAATAAGATGTGAATTTCGAGTATAAACAAGCCGCCATAAAAGA